ATATGCATTTTAACCCACCGATGCGGCCACCTTGCCAATGGCAGCTTCCAATTGATAATCCTGAACGCCACGGTCCATATTAGAAGCAAGGAGGTAGACAATCGACTCGGTTGCGTAGTGACGAGCAATCATATTGGTAAGCTTTTCCTTTAAATAAAATTTTTCCAGCAAAAAAAAAACCGTAGAAGACAAGAGATGAGCAGCATTTTTCAAAGAGCCAGCTTCCTCGCCTACTATCCAAAAAAGTTTCAGTAGTAAGGGGTAAGATCATATGGCCGCCATAACCTACTGCCACTATACAAGCTACTAAATTTTAATCCCGAATATTGGCGAGCGCGCTTATCGTGCACTAATCAAAAATAAGTCCCGTTTGTAACATCCTTTAAGACAATAGGCCCTTGTCTCTATCCAAAGGTGGATGCTCGGCAGATTTGCGCACAGTTCCATTGGCTTTCCTTTTTTGAAAACTTGATTCTGATGCATGTTGTAATATTGAAAGCTTGGGTCAAGAGAAAGACTCATGAAGACCGGTATTAACACCGAAGATACATATAAAAAAAGAAACAATCAACCTGATTTTCTTCCGAAAATTCTAAAGCAATTCAATCGATCATTTTTGCACGAACATTTCATCAAAATTAAACTTCTTACATGAGTTCTAGTACCCCAAGAATTTTATGTAAGAAGTTTCCCCTGTCGCGGATGTGTGTCGACGCTCTGCACTGCTTATCCAGCGTCTGACCTCATACGTACCCGCTTCGGCCAATAGAGTCGCGACTGGCTGTTGTACATGATGCATTTTGACTGTGGAAAAAGTAGCGATAAATCACATTGAGGACTGGAATGCAAAGCTCTTCACGGCATGCCCAAGTCGCTGGATACTTTGGTAATGTTGAGGTCAATCAATGAGTCCCTATTTAGTGAATATATTTTAAGTTAAATATTTTTGAAAAGCTGTGACCTTGGTCGGGGCTATGTGCGCTTCAAATACAATATGTATAGGGACTGGGATATTTTCAAAAGATCTAGCACCGGATTCATTGCGATTGTATTGTTTGTCGTTACAGTGTATGTAAGTCGTGTACAATACCGCTCACAACTTTTGCAAAAGAAACGTGATTTCACATAAAAATCCGTCGCAAGCGTCGCATCGTCGCAACTTCTTTCAAAATAGAAATTTTTTAAAAGTAAAAGCAGTGTTAGACTCAGCTCGCCCATACAAATCTTAGGGTATGCCGCACTACAGTAACACCTGAGGTGTAGGTAGATACGGTAGGAAGACAACACAACCAATCTGTGTGAAACTTTGCGTAGGGGTGGTTATATGGCACTCCCACACAAAGTTTCAGACGAATTCGCGATGTTGACTTCTTACCGTATCTACCGTATCCCTGGAGGTTACTGTAGTGGGACATACCCTAAGATTTGTCTGGACGAGCTAAGTCTAACACCGCTTTTAGTTTTAAGAAATTTCTATTTTGAAAGAAGTTATGACGATGCGACGTTTGCGACGGATTTTTATGTGAAATCACGCTTCTTTTGCAAAAGTTATAAGCGGTATATTATATCGTGAATGTACCCACGGTACTTGCAACCTTCAGGTGAAAATCGCATTCATCATTGTTTTACTCCGGTCCGTCCATAATAATCTGATGCAGTGCTGTAATTTGCCTTTGAACTTGAAACATTTTCTTTAGCCATCAAGAATTCTTAATTTCTGTCACAACAAAACGCTTAGTTGCATTTGGAAAACTACAGTGATCTGCCTCTCTTATTTGTAGTCTTCCTATGTTCGGTTTGCTCTACACCCTATGTCATTTCCAAAGAATACGTCAGAAGAAGATGAAGGAGGAAAAAACAAATAATTTGATGTTTGTGAAGCAGGAAAGCAATATCAAGGACTAAATTTTAGTAAGTGAGGTCCTAAGAATTACCTGAACGTTGAAGAATTCTTGCAATGTTTGACCAAATTGGACACGTTGAGTGATGTGATCTACCTGAAAAGGTGAAGTGAAAAAGTTGGACAGCATTTGCAGTCTTGTGGAAGAACATATTTTCATTCCTTCAAGAACTCTCCAACATTATTAAGAATGAAATGCGAATCTTACTCTAAGAAAACCTCGAGAAAAAAAGTAGACCATCAATTGGTCGCTACGAGATTCCCAATGATGCTACTCGCACTACACTAGCAACGCTGATAATTGCGCATAAACTCTTAGGTATGTCAACTAACATACGTCGACTACATGCAGCTTTTTGAAGCTTCACGGTTTTAAGGTTTGCTTACGGTTTTTTGGATGCAAAACTTCATGGCTCCAGTGCAAGCAGCTGGAATTCCAAATCGGCCATTGTTGAGGATGTTCATAGCTACTTTGAATCCTTCACCTTCTGCACCGAGAAGATTTTCAACGGGAATCTGAAAAAGTAATCGACTAAAATTTTGACTTTAAGATTGTTAGATTTTCTCCAGCAAATTCTATTATTTTTTCGAATCAGGGTAGTGTCCAAGTCGTAACAATTGGTGGCAAGTGCCTTTTAGCTAACTACCAATGAGGCAAACTTTTTGAAGAAAATCTTATGAAACTACCGCTAAGATAGCTGAAATATATCTATTTGCAAGATTGATTATTACTGGCACTCTAGGATATGAAACAACAAACTTCAGTCATCTTCGGATGTTCCCCCAATATCGAATGACCCCAAATTGCTTAGCTGCCTTTAAAGTATCTAAGACCTTGCAAAATTTTTTGTCACAAGTTTGAAAGATTCAAAGTTTTCCAATCCATTAAGTTCCCTCTCGATCATGTATTGTGAGAATTGAGCAATTTTATGTAACGGTCGGATTGTTTCACTCCCTTGTCAAGTTTGTTAAATCAACTTGTATTCTTCCAGCCAAACATTGCAAAATCAGGGGTAGTAGTAATTTGACAATAAACTGCGAGTTAACTGTGAGATTACTCGCAGTTGCAGTCAACTGCGAGTTTCAAGCTTACAGTTAACATGTAAAAAGAAAGGAAATCCAGTAAATTTTGTTGCAAGAGAATTTCCGATGAGACCTTTAAACGTCTACGTAAAGAGTAAATTTCAAAAATTTTGTAATTCGTAGGATAATTGTCAGCTCTGAGCAAACTCATAGTTAACTCGCAGTTAATCTCCAAGTTAGCTCGCAGTTGATAAATGAAATGAAACTACGAGTCAACTGCTGGTTTTAGTGATGAGGCGAGATAGCGTTGTAAGAGATAGAGGCACAGGTATAACAGTGTTCATATCATTAAAAAGTCCTATGGAGTACCTTTCATAAAATGAGCGCTGTTATACCTGTGTCTGTTGTTAACAATACTATTGCACTCTAACGTAGTAACTCTAAATTAACTCGCAGTTTCATTTCATTTCTTGAAGGACCAGCTGCTTTGGCGGTTGACTGCGAGTTAGCTCCGAAAACAGACCAGCGTGGGAGATACTGACACGAATATCGCCCATTACACGCATAACACGTAAGATCAAGTTACTACACAACGCAACAAGAATTAATCATCCCACAGAGTAGAGCCCTAGGTTTAAGAGTTAAAGAGTATATGGCTAATAAAAGACGAGGGAACTTAGCATCGCCGCTGGGTAGACATAAATTTGAAGCACATGAGG